TATACAATGTAAAAAATACATATCCTAATTTTATATATATATCATACATAGAGACACACACGTATAAACATACAAACACACACACGTATGTCTACACACACACACACACACACACACAGGCCCCATTGATTCTGCTGGTTCTGTTTCTCTGACTAACATGCTATGTTTCCTCACGGGGGCTCAGCAGGGCAGGCATGATAACTAAGTCCCAGAGAAGCAGGCTCGACAAAGTGCGAGCCCCTGGACAGCGGGGGGTGTCCTGGCCTGTTCACACAGGGCACGTGGACTGAAAGACTATTTTTTTTTAAAAAGCAACACGGATGAATGATCTGAGTCACTTTACCTGTGGCTCAGGAACCCTTCTCCCAGCCAGGGCCCCCTCCACCCGCAGAGGGTGGCACCCCACGATGCACCAGCCCCACCGACCACTGCTGTTCAGGGGTAAACGCTCAGCAGTTACAAAGAGCACTCAAATTTAACTCAGGAAGGCCCTGGATTATCATAAAGGCACCCTGTTGAGTCAGCCCTACCTTAAGAGGAAGACGCTGTGCGATTATAAGCTTTCCTCACTCTCCACAGACAAACACCACAGGGAAGAGGAGGGGGGCATGGTGCAGCTGCTGGCCTGGTGGACCCAGACCTGGAGGCCACGACCAGTGTCAGCAGGGGTCTGGGAGAGCTTCAAGTTGCTCTGCTGAACGCCAAACGGCCGGAATGCTCAGTGCGGACGCACTGCCTGGGTTCTGTGACTGAATGGAGGAACTGAGAAATTGTGATCTGTTAAAAATGCCAACGTGCCTTCAAGAAGGCAGCACAGGTCAGGGAGCCGATAGCAAGAGGACATACGGCTCGGAGAAGCGACGTGAAGCCGCGAGCTGTCTGCTTTCATCCTTTCTCCACTGGCCTTTGAGCTGAAGAGAGAGGCCAGGCTGGGGCACTTACCACCCCGTGGTGACAACAGAACGTGTCATTTAACCTGAGCGGAGCCTCATCTGCCACCTCACCCTGTCTCCAGTCACCAGCACTGACCACCAGCTCCCGCTCCCACCTCAGCCTGGAACCCTGCCCCACCCACCTCCCAGCTACCCTCAAGACGCTGTTCAGACACCAGGGCGTCCACAAAGCCCTCCCTGCCCAGCACCTGCTCCCACCACAGACCCAGGGTCAAGCTGGGCCAGTCCCAGTCCCCCGCGAGCCCCCAGCACCCTCGCCTGATGTCCCCGAAGCAGTCATTACTCTCCGCTGGAACTGCCTGTTTCAGGTCCGTGCTCTCCAGACCGCTTGACCGGTCCTGCTTACCTTTTTCCGTCTCACCTCCAACGTACTACTTACTAACGTGTTTATCACACGTGTGTGGACTAGCTCCTGCCCTAAGGCAGACCGTAACCTCCGCGACCGTGCCGCTCATCCGTTCTGTCCCCTGCAATGCCCCCCGTGCTGGGAACAGCACCTGGAGGGTGGGAAGCTTGGGGGCTGTTTGTTGGATGAAAGAATAAACCACTTCCCTCACTAGACAATTTGCCCCTTGAGAGCAGGAGCTGTCTTAGCCCTGCAGCCCAGAGAGGCAGGCAGAATAATGCTCCCCCCCAAAGAGTGAGCGTCCTCGTCCCCAGACCTGAGAGCGGTCCTCACGTGCGCGTGAGCTGACGTGCCTGGGCTGATGACCCTGAGACGGGGAGATCATCCTGGATTATCCGGACGGGCCCAGTGTAGGTACAAGGTCGCTTAGGAGGGAGGACGGGGTCAAGCCCAGAGAGGCCAGTGGGACGAGGGAAGCAGGGGTCAGAGTGAGGGGACGTGGGAAGACCGAGCTCTGGAGATGGAGGAAGGGAGCCCTGCGTCAAGGAGTGCCGGGACCCCCAGGTCAGAAAAGGCAAGACGGGAGTCCTTCCCAGAAGGAAGGCAGCTGTCTGCGCCTTGATTTTATCCAGTGAGACCCATTTCAGACTTCTGACCCCCTGAACCATAAGATCATAAGTCTGTGTTGTTTTAAGGCTCTGAGTTCGTGGTGATTTGTTGCAGCTGTGAAAGAAACGAACGCACCGGGGACCAAAGGTGAAGCGGCCGCGCAGGGAACGTCTGCGAAACGCACGCCGGAAATTCCTAGTAAGATGTCGCTTTCAGTCTCGAAAATAAATGTTAATCCATAAAAATAGCAAACAGTGAGTGAAGCCAAGAGCCAAACTTGGTGATGGTTGTCATTTTCGTAGGTCTTTCTTTTCCTTTAAGTGACTAATTTTGACTCAGAGATGCTTATGACAATATTTCCCCTATGCTGGTAGGTCTTACATTTAACCTACTTAGGCAGTTTTATTAATCAAATGTACGTTTCCCCCTCATAAAACCCTAAAGCAAGATTTAAAAAAAAAAGAAACCAGTTTATTTAATAAAAACTGGTCTTAAATGCAAAAGTAACTGCACTTAAAGTCGTCGTGTGATTCCTGCGGGTGAGGCACGTGCAAGGATTCCTCTTTCTGAACATTTCCAAATGCTCACTCCCCACGAATCTATTTTTAATGCTGACACTTGATGAAAGAGAGAAGTGACAGGAAATCATTGAGGAATTATTTCTGTGTCCAACTGAAAATTTAACTGGTCTGAATTATGAGCCAAATCTTTCCCATGTCTCATTAAAAAGTGAGAAGAAAACAACTTAAGAAATGTTTTTTCTCAGCTCTTAGCTTCCCAAACCCCTCAGCCTAACTCCCAGTCCTGTTAGTATGTTCACCCTAGAAACCAAAAACTCTTAAAAACCGGAGATCAATAGATACATTTCAATCATCACTGAAAAACTTAGATACGTAAGAGTCTTTTCAGTTTACATTAATACATCATGAAAAAATTATCAACAGAGCATATAATTATTTTTTTTAATATGGGAAAGAAATCTTGAAAGTTTTAAGCAACTGGAACCAATTCACGTACAATCCAGAATTTGTTTCGGTCCTTTGGAATATCTCCAAACGCAGTTATTCAAGACTGTGTTAAACAGTGGCCCTCCTCTGAGCGCCGTATTTTCAATAAGCCCGAAGACGGAAAGGTGCCCCTGTTTTCTGCTACTGCGAACACATTACACCTGTTTACACTGGCTGTACCAGATGCTTATCTGCCTTATCCCTCCTCATGCTGTCAGTCTAATGCCTCGAAGCGCATCTAAGCTGTATCCTAAACCTGCACACCCTCATGTATCACTGCCTCGCCTGCAATGTGCCATAAATCATGTCTCCAAGTAGCAGCAAGCCAGTTCAGTTCCTAGAAGGAAGGTGCAAGTCACAGTCGGTGGCGCCTTCCTGCAGTTCTCAAAGGGATTTGGCATGTGTGAAACATCCAGCGTTCTCCTGATACCATCCCACGATGCCAGGTCCAGCTCAGGACCCCACGTGCCACGATGCACACGAGTTTCAGAAGAGATTTTTAAGACAATGTGAAGACTGCAATCTAACAAACACAAAGAAAAGCTGAAAGGCTGTTTGGCCTAGAGGCGTATGAATCTGTTCCCAACCAGTGCAGAACACCAGGCCCCTGCAGACAGAAACATCAAACTCCCACTGCCCGACTTCTCTTCGGGGTCTTGTTGAAAGAAAGCAGGCGAATGGAGGAGGGTTTCCAGAACATGCAGTCCAAACACTCATCTAGACGTGCTAAGTCTTGTCTGTGGATCCAGAAACCCAGAGTTAAACCAGAATGCCTAATTCCCCGGAGAATTCCTTAGCCTGAAGTTCATACTTTGCACTGTGGCCCGGGCACACTTGAGGGGACAGTCATGGAGACAGCACTGGGAAGTCTACTGATTTATCAAAGGCCAGTCACTGGGGATACATCACCCAGGGATGTGAGAGCTGCATTAAGAAACAACATTCTTTGTTACTTGCCAAGAAAACCTTACCGCTTCCACCGTTAACTGTTTCAAGTTTCCTCCTTGTCTTTTATTATAAAATTCTGTACCAATTGTACAGCAGAACTTGGATAATTCTAGTAACATACACCTCTCCCACATCTCCACTCAAACGTCAGGGATCTGTCCCAGTAACCTTTTACGAAGCAGCCCCCAGCCCACACCCCTTGGCCCACACCCTTCCCCCACCCCGTTCACCATTTGACATCCTTTAGGTCTCACTTAAATATTTTATCTTTTTCTCACTAGAGTAACCACATTGATGCGAAACACTGGAACCCTAGCAAGGAGAACACTGCAGGCACTTCCTAACACTGAGTGAACCACTAGAAGAATGGAAAAACCGTGTAGAACTTTATGGCCTGAGATTCAACCTTCTCCATGTACTTGAACTTGATTCTAAATTATATACCCTGGGTTTGCCCTGCTTCTGATGTGCTTACTCTTTTTTTTTTTTTAAGTATTTGTGTAAGCCAGCTTAAACCTTTGTACAACGAGGAAGACAGTAGAGAGAGAGGTATGGACAGATAGAAGGATGATCTGATTACAGATTACCACACATACTGCATTCTAGCAGATGGTGAGGTCTGTCCTGAGGTTAGAGCCAAACAGTATAACAACCAAGTAGAGTAACCTTTATTCAAAATCTGGTCATCTTCTTCCGGTCAGTCACCCTGGGTTGACTTGATCAGGTGATGTTTCATATTTAAAAGGCCAGTCTGCTGGGAGACCCTCCTGGCTTCTCTGGCCCCATGGCCCCCACCTGTTCCACTGACTCATGCCTGAGGCACCAAGGCTGCTTTTGCCCATAGGTGTGTCCAGACGTGCCCACATCACGCTCATTTCACTCTGGGATTGCTTTCATTCAGAAGGAATGAGTAAAGTTTCCAGAACTTTTCGAAATATACTACACCTTCCCCCACAACATCCCCCCACACGCAGAGCTACTGCAGACACAATCCCATGATAACCGGAGGCGGAATAAAAAATGCCTGAGACTAGACCAATTTCGTTCCAAATTCTACCTCAGCTAAGTTAAAGCCCTGAAAGCTTCCGGGGGCAGGAGAGAGGGTGCGTGCAGAGTGAGGAGAGGGCACGGTCCTACCTGTTTCACGACGGTCACCGTCCCTGGCGCCATGGCAACCACCGAGGCAACGGCGGTGGCATCGTGGGTCTCGGTGCCCAGCTCGATGATCTGCTGGAGGAAGTTCACGGCTGTGGGGTCAAGCCGGTCACCTTACCGGGAAGAAGCACACAGGAGACCGTTAAGGCCACAGGCAGAGAAGGTCACTGAAGGCAAAAGGAGCCCTTACGAGAGGCCATTCTTGGGCGGCGCCCTCTCCGGGGATGCACGGGGCCTGAGCAGGCGCTCATGTTGACAACAGAAACCCTGTGGGTGGTACCTCATAGCTTACAATGCACTTTCTATAAAACATCTCAAGACTCTAGGCCACCTGTGAGGAGAGAACCCTGTGACGATATTATCCTCATTTTTCGTCACTTCGCTGCAAAAGACCGAAAAGACTTGCCTTGGGCCATTGGGTCAGTTACGTCACCAAGCCAGGGCTCAAGCCCAGATATTCTAAATCCAAACTTGTTGATACGGGACTGCCTCTCAAAACAGAACTCCTGAGATGCTCCAGCTAGGGCGTTAAGCCGCAGAGCCGGTTCCCTGGAGCACGGCCACGGGAGGTGGTCAGGGCCCGTGTGCCAGATGAGCGACCTCAGATACAGGCGTGGCACTGAAGGATGTCTCTATTATCCAGCCCGTGGGCTTTAGCGCCCTAACCCCATTTAAGCTTGGGCTTCTCTTTTAATCATCTCAAAAGACTGGAATCCACATCATCAGGGTGGCTACTGAGTGTACCCTGCCTGCTCTCACCATCTGCTTGGCCATCTGTGAGGCTCCCGAACACGGCACTCTGACCCTGATCATTAATTCACTAAGAGGGAAATTACTGCCTGATCGCCAGGTTAGCATAATATTATGACATCTCCCCCGACATCTGCACCCTCCTGGCGGCTCTCTGCAGGCCACGTTCCAGCGTGAGCCTGTGTTCCAGCGCCCTGTACATGTGTGCTGTACGCCAGCCCAGCATCCCCCTATGCACACACCTACACACACACACACACACACACACACACTCCTTAAGGGGAGTGTTTCAACTGTGCCTGGCAGCCAACCACTCTGAATATCCAAAAGCTAAATAAAATATTTACCTTAAAAAATGTACTGACATAAGAGTTTAATTCCTCATCCAGCTACTCCCTCAATGACCGTTTGTCGAGCCCATGCTGTCAGCCAGGAACGTGGTTCCCAGTGGGGACAAAGATCTAACCCTGCCTCTCCCTCCTCCGCAGGGACTCAGGGCGACTGCGACAGCCTGTAAGCAAATCCTCGCAGCACCTGGTCGGTTCCCCATCAGAAGGGGCAAACAGAGAGCACTGCTGGAAATTCGGGTGGGCTCCCGGGAGATGAAGATGCATTTGCCTTAAAAAGTGCTGAGAGTGGGAGGGGCCCAGACAACCCTGGAGCATGTGGGGAAAAGAGCAGGGCCTGGCCTGGAGAGCACAGCCCCGAGAGGGCAGAGACGCATGCAGGGCGGCCAGGACCAGAGCCGGTGGGCCTGGAGCTGAGCTGTCTCCTGAGCTGGGCGGAGACACCGAGAGCCTTTAGAAGGAGGGAGGGAGTGAGGGTATGTCCGCGGGGGATGAAGACAGACAGGCCGTTCTTGCAGGGCTTGAGTGGTCATGGAAGTCACGGAACATGAAGGAAGGAGGGAGACTAGAATGGAGGTGATGCCCCAAAGAGAAGTCAGGGGGCCCACATTCCAAGACCAGCTCCAACACCCAAAGACTGGGTGACCCCCCAGCCAACCATTGACAAGGAAGCAATCTCCTGGATCCGTGAAGTCAGACCTGCTGCCCTCGTAGACTGTCCTGGGATGTGACAAGACGTGTGGACGCCAGCACCGCCGTTACGCAGCACTGCCTCCCTTGTGGCTCAATTCTAGAATCAAGAGATCACTACCTCCAGGCTTGACATGGGACCGCTCCTGTGGTCTGACGCAGCCGAAGGAGATGAACGGACAGACACCATTCACTCACACATCCATTCATCCTCCATCAGGGCCTGGTTCTAGGGTGTCAACAGGAGGCAGGGAGCGCCGTCTCACCACTCTCTGAGGTGTATCTCAGGTCCTGGAGCGCCGCCACAGCCGCCTGCGTGCCCTGAACGTCCTCCTCCGCCTCCGTGATGTGCAGGTACTGCGTGGAGGGTTCCTCGGGAGTCTCGGTTGCTGGCTAAATAAAAACACAGCATCATCTGTGTGCCCTTCTAGAGGGTCACCTCTTCCCCAGAAGTCCCAGGATAATGTCTTAAGACAAAACAAATGTACACAAGCAACGCCTTGCAACATCTCACTTACCTGGCGCCCCTGAGAAATTAGTGCTCTGATAAAAACATACTTTCCAAAGAGAAAACTGCTCTTCGCAAGTGCCAACACTTTTTAAAACCAGCTTTGGTGGAAAACGCATTCTTGCCTTAGGGAACAGAGTATGCTGTTCATAATTAGAGATCAGACAGGCACAGAGATCCCTGAATGTGCTCTTATAGTGTCCCCTCTGCCTTCTCCCTCTGCCACCAATACTGCTCCCGTCTTCCCTTTGCCAGGGACCTCTAGCCCCAAGGCCCACAGAGGACAGGCCCAGCGGTGGGGACAGTGGGAGGGCGGAGAGGGTGGTTCATCACTGACACACGTCGAGTTTCCAGCACAGGGCCCGGTACGTAGTAAGATCTCAGCAAGCCTTAGCTACCCATGCCATTCTTATTTTTACATGAAGGACTGAGGCATGAAACTGCCCACAGGAAACGTGTGCATGCAAACTCAGGACTCCTGAGCACAGGAGGAGCCTGAGCGACACTCACAGTGTCTCACACCCATGGCAAGAAGAGGTTGGGTGGGATTTTCACAAGCACCAGATGTTAATAATTACTTCCTTCTGAAATCCTAGGGCAGGAAGAATGGATGTGACCAACAAAGAAGAGCAAAAAGGAGGTTTTACGTAATATTTATAGGCATCGAAGTTATCATGCTCTATAAGCACTTATCAGCTACTCACACAGGTTCAGAATAGAATGTGACTATTCTTTTACAGCCAAGGGGTCAGGTTCATTTAGGTGTTTCCAGCCTGACATACTGTAGACACCCAATAAATGGCTGATGAATGTAGAAATGAACAAGAAGCAGAATTATTTCCTTTTAAGGACCAGTAAGCAACATACTGGCCAGCACTGACTGGATCCAGGGGTCGGCTGAGCCAGTGATGAACAGGACATTTCTTATGTGTGAGGCTGATCATGTTTTCAGATATTCAAGGTCATCTGCATTTCTTTTCCTATGATCCTTTCTTATCTCAAGCCCATTTTCCCATTGGGTTGTTGATCTTTTTCATCAGTATTTCTAGAAGCCTTTTATGATATAAAGATATTCATCCTTTTCTCTATGATATGACTGAAAATACTTTTTGGCCATTTGTCTCTATGAGTGCTTTTTTTCAGTAGTATATATATTTTTTTATTGAAGTATAGTCACTTTACAATGTTGTGTCAGTTTCTGGTGTGCAGCACAGTGCTTCAATCATACATGAACATACATACAATCGCTTTCATATTCTTTTTCATAAGTTTACAAGATATTGAATATAGTTCCCTGTGCTCTACAGTATGAACTTGTTTATCTACTTTATATATAAACTTTATGATTTTTTTAACATCAGTTTTTAATTTTTTTTGCATGTAGTCAATTTTTTTCAATCTTTTCCCTAATTGAATCTGGATTTTGAGGATAGCTATAAAAGGTCTCCACACTCCCAACTTATAAATGAATTCACTTATGTTTTCTTCTGGTTTTTGCAAAAGAACTCTTTCTTTACATTTAAATCTCTGATCCTCTAAACTGCTGCTTATTGTGTGTAGCAAACTTCATTTATTCCTTTAGATTTTTCAAAACGATACTCCTGTCATCTACAGAAAGAGACACTTCATTCCTTCCCATCCGATTCCTATGTCTGTTTACTCTGCTTCCGCTGACGCACCAGCTGATGCCGCCCGCGGGATGTGAAGGAGCAGGGCGCCCAGGGCGTCCTCCTCCTGTTTCCACCTTTGACGAGAAGCCCCCTCACCCAAGATGCTGGCTTTCTGGCTGAAACGCATATATTTTGTTTCTCGTCTTAAAGACGTATTCGTTGAATTCTACTTTACTGCCTGTTCTTAATCAGTGGATGCTGAACTTTGTCAAATGCCTTTTCTGCATTCGTGAAGATGGTCAGTTCATTTTCCTCCCTAGTTCTACTATCATGATGGATTATAGTAACGTGTTTCTTCCCATCAAACCACCCTTCCTTCACATTCTGGAGTAAGTCCCATGTTGTCATGTATTATTTTTCTCACGCGTTGCTGGATTTGTTTCATAGCCCTTACACTTAACCACTGGGGCCCCAGAAAGTCCTTAGAAAGTGGTTCTCAGCTGGAGGTGATTGTGACTCCTGGGGAACACTGGCAATGCCTGTGATGTTTCTGGTTTTCACAGCTGGGGATGCTCTTGGAAGCTGGCGGGTAGAGGTCAGTGATGCTCCTGAGCACCCTAGGGTGCCCAGACTGCCCCTACAGTGCTGAGCCGTCCCCATCGCGAGTTCAGCAGGACCACGTCTGCGTGGCTCTACCTAAGGTAACCTGCAGTTAGTCCGCGGTGTGACCGCCGGTACTTGAAAAGAGAAACAGCTACTGGCTTTGAAAACACTGGCTTTTATGTAATTCAGCCAGGAGACTGGTTCTAACATCAGAAAGGAAAACAAAGGTGACAGGTAGGAGCAGGTGCATTAGGCAGAGGGGGAGGCAGCCCAGAATCAGGCAATGGGCCCTTCCCGGCTCTTCAGGTGAGGACCGGCCATGTATATACCCTGTTGTGCGTTCTTCCTTCAGATGCAGCATCTGGAACTCCGGATTTATGAGGACAGAAGTGAAAATGTCCATGAGAGTCTCACACACATTCACAGACCAGCCTAAACACAACCCAGGCTGAGGAGGCACCTGCATGGCCTGGATCTCGCCCCGAGGCACCCCTCAGGAAAGAGACAGGCTTGGAAAGGCTTCCAAGTTTCCCGACAGGAAAACCCACTGCTCTGAGGACTGGATGCCTGTGCCCAGCCCGGGGCTTGCCCGCTTTGTCGCTGTGTTCAGGAAAGGCATGATCAAGGCGCGCTTTAAAAAGTACCTCCCACTTGGGATCTCCTTCGTTCTCCACCAGCTTCAGGCCATGCTTGTTCTTCAAGTGCCTGTTGAACTCCCACTTGGTGCCGTATACGAAGCTGCACACGGGACACTTCAAACCACCTGGAAGCACAGACAGAGGTGAAGAGAAGGGTTCACAGCACCCAGACGTGCAACAGCTCCACTCCCAGCCTAGTGCCTCAGATCTAAGGAGCGTGTGTTTTTGTCTCCAGTACTTACTTCCACGCCAAGCTTACCTTCATATTCGACAGAATAGCAACAGTCTGTGTTTTGCAGGGTAGAGATTTTAAAACCAATGTATTTCTTTTCCTTTTTTCCGTTTTGAATGAGAATTTGCAGAGAACCTAATATGCACTTAATATTCTAGGTGTCAGAGAAAAGTAAGATGGGTAACAGAAGTCCCCCAGCTTAAATCATCTTTTCATTCAAAAATAACAAATAATTTAGAAAGCAAAAACATAACTGAAGGGCAATGGGTGCTTTGCTCAGTCTCCTCTGTCCCAGAACACTACGACCAAGAGCCAGATTCCCAGGCTCCTTCACATCAGAAGCCGAGCCAGGGGTACAAATCCCCATGTGGAAATCCCAGCAAAGGAGAGATGAAGAAGCTGGTCGTATTCTGAAATGTCACTATTTGTTTAACTGATTAAATTTTACACATGTTCCAGGAAGCGTTTGGATGCTTTAATTAAGAGAATATAGAACTTTAGGATAAAAAAAAAGCCAAAAAACCAAAACACCAACCGAGAGTCACACAAAGACTGTCTTTCTAAACTTACAGCAGAAGCAGCAACTAAATTAGAAACTGAACAAAAATCACTTATTTATTTATGTTTTTATTGAAGTATAGGTGATTTACAGTGCTGTGTTCATGTCAGGTTTACAGCAACGTAACTTAACAGCTGTGCTTTCAGAAGCGAGCTCTGGCTGCTCCGGAGGCTGGCTGGGCCCTGGCATTAGGCCCCCAGGCCCCCGGGATGCGGAGCAGCCACAGTCAGGCCACGTGCCAGCACCATCAGGCCTCCACCCCGAGCTGGCCGGGCGGTCTGGTGGGACCGGCAGTCCCCCAGCTGGCCTGCCTGCAGCCGCCATTGGTCGTCTCTCCGCCCAGCATGCAGACTGGTCTTCAAAGCATAAACGGAATCACATTTCTCTCAGGTGTAAAACCCTCCCATGGCCTTTTGTCACACCCGGAATAAAATCCCAGCTCCTTGCTGTGGCCTGTGTCCCCGATGTGACCACGTCCCCGCCTCCCTTGCTGCCTGGTCTCCTCCCTTCTCCCTCTCCTCTCCTCCTCTGTCTTCTGCACTCACCAAGCTCCTGCCCTTCTCAGGACACCTGCTGCTGTGGGGCCTCTTGCCAGTCTTTCTGTTAACTCTGCCCCTGTCCCTGCTGGACCTGCCGTGACCTCCTGTGCCCTCCCAGTGGCAGACATTAATTTTCTTGCTCCCTGGGGCACTAAGGAGGGAGCAGGGGAATTCTGTCTTGATGACAGCTTGTCTTAATACACTACATACGAACTAGACACATCTCATGGGGATACATAATTAAAGCATCTCCTGGATGAGTTAGGATGTGCTAGGTCTCCCGAACCAATTCCACGCCAGCGGACCTTAGAGAGCACGCTCCATGACTGGGTTTTGCCTGTCACCTGAGGTGGGGAGTGATTCCCCAACCTGCCATGAGCAGAAAGGGAAGCCAACTCAAGACAGCTGACAACGCAGCCCCTCGAGCCTGCAGCCCCGAGGCCGGGAGGGCACAGGAGAGCAAGCGGGTCCGGCGGACGTGGGCGCAGAGTCAGCACAAAGACTGGCAACAGACACCAAATCCCGAACTTCCAGAATATTCTACAGGAAAAACAACTCAAACTGACGCTTGTTTTCTGAAACTCAAACACACTACACTTTTTTTATGCAAAATCAAATGAGCGTGTTCCTTCTTGCCCAGAGGATAATTAAACTTAGTTTTTAACCTTCTTTGTTATCACTTATTAAGCATCTAGGATGACGTCTATTAAAACCCTCCAAGGCATGAGAACCACCACCTTTTCTTCTGGTTAAGCTGACGCTGATTCTATAAAGACTTAAAAGGAGGCAACGAACACAAGCAAACTACCTAAGGTTAAATTTAGGCCTTAACATGAAATTAAAGATTCCTTCGGGGTATTCTTTAATGGAAACTAATTTAGGGAGAAAAGCATCCTTATACTATGTTTAATTAAAATTAATATGAAAATGCCCCCACATTAATTAAAACTTCAACCTCTGCCACGGTGACTTTAATCAAAGAACAACAAATGGAAATATGTAATCTAGACCAAATGTGTAACTGCACCAGTTAATTGACATCAAAGCCGAGAAAAATTAATTTCCATTTCAATTCATTAAATTCTTAGGCAACATTCAGTAAAGGTCACAGGAAGACTTGGTGAATTTACCTGCAGCATTGATACTAAGTGCACACCATAAAAACCGTACCCCTCCCCGCAAAGTCGCAATTTCCTCATAAGGAATGAAGAACCAGGCAAAGGCACAGAATCTCAGGAGCAAGTTTAAAACTCCATCATGGCACCCTTTGTTCTTCCTAGAATGCAGTATATTCTGGAGGAGTTCCGAGCAGTAAACTATTTGCATGCCTTCGTTGTAGCTGACACTACTGAAAATTCGATTTCATTTTCAGTAACATACCTCCCAGAATGGCACGGGACGCTGGGTTAGACAGTCAGGAGACCTGAATTTAACACTTGCTCTCGTGACTTAGAACCACTTCCTTAAACTCTGGGGTCCTGGTTTTCTCTTCTACTAAAGTGAAAATGCTAAAGCTTATAACCTGATAAAAGGCAGTGTGGACAGCAGAATAATGGGCCCCCCAAAGAGATTTACATCCTGACCCCTGGAACATGTGAGTCTGTGACCTCACATGGCAAAAGGGACATCACAGGTTATGATTCAGCTGAGAATCTGGGGATGGGGAGATCATTCTGGACTGTCTGGATGGGTCTAATATCATAACATGGGTCCTTATGAGAAGAGGGCAGGAGAGCAGATGACAGTGACGTGACCTGATACAGACTGCTGGCTTTGAAGGAGCAGGGGCACAAGCCAAGGATCATAGGCGCCTCCAGAAGCTGGAAAATGCCAAAAAAAAAAAACCCCAAAAAACCCAAAATGGGTTCTCTTCCCCTGGAGGCTCCAGAAGGAAGACAGATATCTTAGCAAACTTGACTTTATCCCATCTTGGACTCCTGACCTTCAGAACAGTAAGAAATTCAATCTGTGTTTCAATCTGCGCTGTTCCAAACCACCACCAAGTTTGTGGTCACTTATTACAGTGGCAATGAAAAATGAACAAAGGCACTAAAGGATAACTGGACGAAAAGCAGCTTAATTATCAAAAGAAAGTAGATGCAGAGTAACTTGATTGTACTAACAAGTGAAATACAGCATGGACTTGGTTGACATTCGCACTTCGAGAAAACTACATTTTATTTATGCTTTTTTATTGTCATTTTAACACATATTCCTCTATCTTGAAACAAGAAATTATAAAGTCCCATGAAGATACTTTTTGAGGAGTGAGCAGAAGAGGGGAGGAAAAAAAAAAAGCAAGAGGGGATGAAGAGAATTACTTGAAATTAAAAGAAAGTGAAAACTTCCAGTGGTACCAAATGACAGCCTTTCCAAACACAGTCGTTGTATCCAGCCCGACTTTCTCCCCATCTCCTTCCTGCCCAGACATCAGAACAGCGTGAGCTGTGTGCTCCTGAGGTCTCTGAGCTGCACTCACACTCAACCAGCTCTCTGGTTTCAGAGCCTGTTCTGCCAAAATACAGTGGCACAACGTTTGCTAAGAGCCAAGAGATATTTAGTTATTTCCTTCCACAATATGTCTCTTGAAGGGGGCATAGGAAAAAAGTACACACACACATACACACATATATATATGAAAGAAGATCAAAAATATACCCGCAAAGATTAGAAATAAAACCCAGACCGTCAGGGGGTGCCAACTGGTTACACAGTCAGAAAGTTAAGTGAAAACTTACGGCATGCGGTCACTTGGCCTCAGCATTTTCTGCCGGGTAGTGATGAAAGTTTGGAAGCTCAGAGCTATGACAGTGTCATCAATCAGACCCCCACGCCTGTCCCAACAGCCACAGTAAATGTCTATTTCCTGCCAATCCAACCCAAGAGCGTGAAGGATGTTGAATCTCTAGCCCACTACTCCAACTGTTTACTGTGACTCTAAGCAACCAATTCTCTCCTCTGGGATTCCTGGACAGGCAGGTGGTCAGAAATGATGCCATGGCTCTAGAAGTCTTAACATATTTTCAGAAAACAAAAAACAAGAAACAAAAACAAAAAGAAAGGAATGAAGCTGTCCTGGGAGCCAGACACTCCCGTGTTCTCAGTTAACCCCTCCGCTATCACGTGACGGCCGCTCCAGGTGAAGGGGCTCAGGTGGACAGGTTCGGGAACTCACCTGAATGGCAGCGTTAAAGAGCCTCACTGCACCATCCTGCCCCAGCTCCGGGGAATCGCCACTAAGCAAACACCAGGCACACGCTCCACTACCCCGGACGGATGGCTCGGAAGTACCCCGAGTCTCGTGCTGCTCATCTGTCTCCGCACAGCAGCATGTCTGTCACAGAAAGTGCTGAAGGATACAGTCCCTTCACTTGCTTTACACGAAAATGCACTTCCTGGCGATTACAGCAAGCAGAGCGTCACGCTGCAGCGGAGAACTCCGAGCGACCCCGGCTGCAGCCGAGTTTACAGCCCTACGTCTCTGTTTACTGGGTGCAGATTTCTAAAACGGTCCTCAGCTTCAAAGAGTCACAGGACTCAGGAAAGAGCAGCAACTGACACACTGCACGCTGCAGTCGTTTTTCAGCTGAATTACTGCAGCACAGATATAAATACAGCAGCGCTCCTCTGTGTGGTAACAGCACATGAGCTAAACCCTCTCAACTGGGAATATGTGATTATTTATTGAAAAAAGAAGCAAGAAAAAAACCCCAGACTCTTCAATACTATTAGAGGTTTCCATCCATTCTCTTTAGATTAAATGTTCTAAATAGCTTTTCCTTTTCAGGATGAATAAGTAATCTGAACACTCAATAAATATTCTTGGATGATCTAAAGAATTCCACCCCTAAGTGTGATTAGCATAGCATTATCTATAACTGCAATGAAAGAAAAATCTGGAAACCCTACAATGGTCCAGGGCAGAAGCATGGCTAAATAAAGTCAGGGGCTTCCACTAGGTGCTGTGTTGCGGAAAGCCCTTAGGACAACCAGGAAGACAGGGTACCAGCGGAAGACAAACATTCACGTTAATCGTGTTAAGTAAGGAAAGCAAGCCGTGAACTTTCATTTACACAAAACGTATGCCTGGACCAAGAACAGATAAGGTCGGCCCTTCACATCCCCAGGCTCTGCATCTGATGTGGGCCCGTAAACACGGAGGCCCACTGTGCGCTGCCATTCTACATCAGGGACTTGAGCATCCTCGGGTTTTGGTACCCACGAGGGTCTAGGAAAACTGATGCCCCACAGATACTGAGGGGGATCAGTTCCCTAAGACCCTCGTGGGTACCAATAATGAGAAGGAGGAGGACAGTAATGAGGGTGAAGGATTAACAAAACTGAACCACCAGGGATGAGGGTTGCGCCGCAGGACGTCCCAGTTCCTCTCTGCGCGGCCGGCGGCAGGAGAGGGCCCTGGGCACTCGGGCACCTACCTTGCTGGATGAGCGCGTCGGCCGCCAGCTCCCCGGTGCCCACGTTGGTGTACTCCTCACTGGGGTGCTTCCGGTTGTAGTGCCGCTTCAGGGAGCCTGAGATGTTGCAGGAGTAGTGGCAGTGGGCGCAGCGGAAGGGCTGCGGGGACAAGGAGGAGGGTCAGGGAGGGCCAGCCCTGATGCGATCAAGCCCCAGAGAAAGGAAGGGGCCCGCCCCCCGGTGTCCTCCTCCACAACTCTGCCCCCTGTGAGTGTCTGGTCCCTGGAACGCCCGTGAGGAGCAGGCCGTTCCCTTGGGATATGTTCCAGGAAAACAAGCCAACCTGGGGAGGCCGAGTCCTGCCTCTGCAGGGAGCACCCATGTGACCGGGCAAGGTGTCTCCAGAGCAGGAGGGGGCTCTGCTAAATGAAGCTGCCTTCAGTTCTTTTCTTTTTCGGTCCACCCTAGAATTTACAGTTCTTGTTCAAGAAGAAAATAACAAAAAGGCAACACAACTCTGCTTTTCTTTTTTTAAATGAATGTCTTTTAAGCAAGTCCCCCTCACCATTATTTCCCTGATGTATTTGCTTCCTTAACTAAACGGTTTCCTCCACAGTCTTCACCTGCACCTGCACACCCCCATCGCCGCCCACCGTCAGGGAGACCTGCCTGATGAAGCTGTGACCGACCCCTGCCCGGGCTAGACAGGCGCTTTCAGGACAAGGGCACCAACGTCTGCAGCCTTGTCTGCCACCTTGGCACTGCTTCGGGGGACGCCCAAAGAGCGGTGAGGGGAAGGGGGCCTCCCCGGGCCTCCTGGGGAGCCTAGTGAGACCTGTCCATCGGCCAGGTGATGGATGGACACCTGGGTCGCCGTCATACCTGTGCCCCCACTCCTGGGCAGGTCAACAGCAAAGTGTCCCTCTGAGCTGCGTGCTACACAGCTGTAGGGCACAGTGCTACAGAAATGCCTGTCCTGAATTCGGGTAACACAAGCGAGATCGAAGAGCACGGAGCCGCCCACGAGGCAGCAGCCTTCAGAATGGCACAGGGCGTTCAGACGGGGCAAGTTCAGCCGATGGCAACGAACCTCAGACAAGCAGGGAAACTCCTAAGCACTGAACTCCTCGATACAAAGTAGGTAAAACCTCTACCTCGGAAGGCTGCTGTGAGCATTCAGTGCTGTAACATACACTGGTATCTAAAATGCCATAGAAAGCGCTCACTGCCTTTATTAGCAGCTTTACACACTCTTACCGTGTCTGTGGGAGCTAAGGCACCAATGTGTCTAGTGAGACCTCAGAGCCACCTGGCCTCCTCAGCTGTCCAGCCCATCAATCTTCCTCCACTATCACCCAGAAGAGCCGGGCCAGACAGAGCATCTCTGAAGGTGAACGCACCACCTGGGGGACTTCCTCTCTCCTGTGACACCTTAATCAGCCTCTCTTTCAATGGTTTCTCCAAGTCTGCAGATGTGTCGAAATCTCCCCATTGCAGAGTGCAGCAGGGAATGTTGTGAGGGAAGAAAATGAAGAGAAAAGCCATCTACTTGGCCCTTGTCCAAGTCACCACACTCCTGGCTTATAGCCCCTGCCCACCCCACCCTCTCACTGCCCCCTCAACGTCACCCCCTTCCTTAGGCCTCCTGGGTCTCCCAGGTGAACCCTCCTGCAGGTGCAGCCAGCACTCTCTTCGCAGACCTCACCCCCACTCTTCTCCACCCCCTTCAGCTGGCTGCCACCTCCCTCGTGACATCTGTAACATGGTGACATTGCTGTGAACTTCCTGGGTTTCTTGACTCCACCTACTTGCCAGGCCCAGTGTGAAAGGCCGGCTTTCTCCAAGGTCCTGCCCTCAGGCCTCTTCTGTTCTTCCGCGTGGTCCCAACGATCATTTTTCATGTTGATACACACACAGGCCGTAGGGATGGCTCCCAAACCACAGACAGGAGTTTTCCACCATCTTCCAGGTGTCTCTACAAGGATGCTCTGTAAGCACCTCAAAATACACACAATTTCAGGCTCACCCTCTTTCTGCAGAATCAGCCAGTCACTCGCAGACAGGAGCCTGAGCATCGCCCTAGACTTCTCCTCTCTCACTGCTCAGCCGGCGCCTGGGCTGCCGCGGCGTTCCCGGACACGTCCAGAGCTCGCCCCGCTCCTCTCCGCCCATGACTCCAGCGCGCAGAAAGTGCTGACCGGGCCCATGAGGGAAGCGCTGTTACCCCCAGGAGGGCGGGTCTCAGGGATCTGGGAGCTACCTGGCGAGCCAGCCTGCTCTGAGCCCTTCCCCAGGGGCGCCCTCTCCGTCGCGGCCACACCGCGGTCACCAGATGCCCCGGGCTACACTGCATGTGCCACTTTCGGTCCTGCGTGTGACAGAACCCCGCGGCTTGGCCTGAGAGGGTTTATTAAATAAAAGCACCCGAAACAAAGGCAAACATTACCCAGGCTTCTCACCAAGCTACTGAGAGAGAACAAGAGATCTAAAATGCCAATATATGAGTATCTGCAAAGTTAAAATAAAAATTAAAACATTTTTAAGTGCTTTCCTCCCTAACGAAGCACATACTATGACACTATTTTTGGACCGTTGGTGCTGGCACAGAAATCAAAAAGAACCAAAACTGCTCCACTGCCAGGGCGGGGGGGTCGGCGGGCACAGAGGCAGCAACGGGCAATTAAAACGAGAAATGGTCCTACAGACCTAACTTCGGGCTCAAGAGCCAATTTCATCCTTGTAGCAAAGCAGATAAATTGCCTCATGAGAGTTTCAATACCTTTTATTCCCCTTACCTGCTCCTCGGTAGAATTGCTAATGAGAAGAAAAATTGCCAAAATCTAAGTGGAGAGGCCAAAAAATGTACAGGGGAGCCCAAGTGAGAAATCAGTTTCCAAGCTACTGATGTCTGTGAAAACCTTCCACTCTTAAAGTCGGAAGGGATGCTTTCAAAGACTGACTTGGACTGACCTTCCCTCCATGACAAGACAGTCTTCTGCGCCTCCGAGAGCCTGTGGTCTCAGCCTCCGTTAGATGCAGGGAGGTCAAAGCTCCAGCCCTTGCACTGCCGAACAGCTCCGGGGGTTTAGGAAGATAAACTCCCCTGTACTCGGCATCACCTTTTACATGAAATCAATCACCTAACTTCTACTTGGGACCCTCTCTCCTAAAACGGTGCAGCTGAGCCGCATCTGGGCCCTTCGAGCGAAACAAGTTTGAATTTGTGAGACGGTGCCGAGTTGCAGCAGGGAGTTCTGCCGGGGCTGTCGCTGCAGGGCGGGAGACAGAGGCAGAGGAGGGCGTGGGTGACGTCCCTACACCCACTGCCAGACGCAGGGTCTGCCTGCGTTATCAGTACCGCACACCTTGAGATGCCGTTTATGGAGCACGTATCACTGGCCTCCCGCTGTGAGTCAGCCATCGTTCTCTCACCCCGGGGGGGTACGGTGACGACCGAGAGAGTCGTGATTCCCTGAGTCACGACTCAGGTGTCAAGTGCAAAGATGAAACGCAGTCTAGGCAGACTAAATCACAAAAGGGGCTTCCTAAGGCAGATACTTGCAGACAGCAAATGACGCTGCATCTCAAAGGGAAGTTATCTACTGAGGGCTTTCAGGCCAGAGTCCAGCCAAGAGTTACGAGGAAAATACAGGCAGGCTATAGTCCTGGAGGCATGTGAAACAAGACACCAAAAAAGAAACTGGATCAGAAACAGGGCGGGGGCCCGTTGTTATGCCGACAACTCGGTGTTGCGCTGGATTGGTTAAGTGATGGGGTCTAGCATAACCGTTACTATTCTTGCTTGTTTACTGATGGCTCCCATACAGCAGGCAGCTCTAAATTGTAGGTGGGTTAATCTTGGCCCTCTTGTCCTTTTTCCCCTCACTGCTTTGCTTAGACAAGCCCACAGCTAGATGTTTAGCTATCAAAACTCAAGCAAAACCTTTAAGCAAAATGCTGACTGAGTGTAAACCTTGCAGCCGGAACACTCCCCAAGTTCAGTGGCAATGACTGAACCGTGGAGCAGAGTGTAAGAGGTCAAGTGGAGGGCTGCTGGTGGTGGTGTGTGTGCTGCTTTTCAGCTCTTCATTTCCAGGAAAGTGAAGAGTCTGAGATTAGACTTTTTCATCTTTCCTTTAAGCACGTGTATGTGTGTGAGGAGGGGGAAGGGCCGTGGTGAGGGCAGGGGGTCTGAGGGGGGTCGTTTATGGAATTGTTTTGAACTGAAATGTCTCTGCTGAAAACCTGTTACATCATCTTCAGCTCCCCTGTATTTTAGATTTTTAAAGCACTTTGGGGAAAAAAAAGAGGAATTGGATTGTCTTACGTTAAATTAAAATCCTGTCTGTCTAATAATGTGCAGTATATCTCTGGAAATACTGCATTTTGACAACATAAGCGATTACAAAAAAAAATCAATAATTGGAGAACACTGAAGAGTCTTCTAAGCTCTTGCATGAAAAGCAATTAGTATGGATTGATTTACTGTTATTTATTCTGATGAGGTAATTGCCTCAAATAAGCTGTTCTGAACTTGTGGTACCCCATGGTTTTAAAACATTTATTCCTTTAAATTGTTTAATTTGTCTCCGGCCGTGTTTTACAACAGACGTGGCTTTGTGCTTGGTAAATGACACGGAGATCCGGCTTTTTGCTCCCTGGATCCGTGGCCCCAGCCTTGGTATGGTCCCTGTGGTGGCCCACCCAGGAGGAAGTCCCAGCCCCACGCTGTCAGGCTTCTCATCCTGAGACAGGGTCGAAAAATCATGAGACTCTTCTCTGCTG